AAAAAAAAAAAAAAAAACAAGGGCGTGCACTGCTACTGCTGGCACTAGTGCTGACCGTCATGGGATTTACCTCTCGATTGTTTTGTATTTTATTTCTTTGGTCGGAAGGGGGAGAAACAGCTGGGAGGATTTGTGACGTTTTTCGTCCCGAGGATTTAGTTTCTTTGGCTAGGGTTAGGGGGGGGACGATGGTGGGAAGCGGGAGTGCAGACGAGCTGACTTCTTCCACACCAAATTTGGCCGGTTTCTCTGATCTATCCAAAAGCTATATAAATCCACATCACCTCCCTCGAGCCAGCATTGGGGGCAACAGGCAAAGAGAGAGAATGGATGCAGTGACATTCCTTTTTTCTTTCCTCTGGTTCTGCTGAAAGGTTGGCGTCGATTTCATCACGGTGGGTGGTGCCCCCAGCTTCGAGCTAGCTCTTCATGCAGCTTAGCTTTTTGTTCCGGCGTCCACGGGATGAGTCGGGTTGGCCCAAAAGAGCAGGTTCCCAATCAGACAAGTCGGTGAGGCGAGGCAATTCCCTCCGAATTTCAGCTCACGGCGGCAGTAACGACACTCGAGAGGAAGCCAGCCACACTGGTGCAAACAAACCTGCTTGCGTCGCCAGTGGGAATTCTGTTTCTGGGACAGAACCTCCGGCGCTGGTGGAGCCGCATGCCCGATTCGGCCCGGTCTATTGAGACCGAGCAGGCGGCTAGTCTGTCATTGGCCACGGATGCACCGCTAAGTGGGTCATGTACCACTTTATCGGACCCATTTGGCTGCTAGGATCCACTTTTTCTGGGACCTCCTTGGTTTTTTCGCTCTCTCACTCTGCTGCTGCTGCCCTCGTTGCTGTGATCCCTCCTCCCTCACAGTCAGCTTCAGAACAACCAGACTTTGTGCATACCGTAGGCCAGACTCTCCCTACAGCCAATTGCTCTGTCCTCAGGGTCGGGAAACCCGGAAGATGAAAGGGCAAGTCCATTTTATATGTAAGGAAGAATGAAGGGAGCTCGGGGTGGGAATGCTCCCTCCCCATCCTTTTTTCTCTCCACCACCCCCTCTCTCCCCCCTTGGCCAATCTTTCCCCGGTCACCCTGGTTACAAGTAATCTTACTGTAAAGCCAATTGCTTCATATCGGCATACGGTGGAAAAAGCACAGGACCTGGTCATGGACGAGAAGTGGGTGCGCAATGGCAGCATCGCCGCAATGCGACTCGTGGATAGTACGGCCAGCGGCCCTGCACGGCCGGACAGAGACCCTGAACAATTGGCTGTACCGGCAGCATTGCGCGCTTGGCCCCATCCCGAACGAACCCGAACTGTCCGCGAGAGCGTAAAGCAGATGGTAATTGCAGTGTATGATACCAGTCAAGTAAGATAGAGGACAATCAATTACTGGAAGCACACACGCGCCAGGCCCCGGGTAGGGCTTTTTCTCTTCCCAACAAGCGCACTAACGGAAGCCGACTGGGGGGCTGGTGGGCTCGAAAGGGTAAAAAACGCGAAAATTTAGCGGGAAAGTATTTATGGCCCGGAAAGGTCACTGTTGTCACATTTCCTCCAGGTTTTCCTCCCAGAAAAGTTCTTCCTCTTCCTCTTTTCTCCTCTTCTTCTTTCTTCTCTCCTTCCTTCCTTCCCATCCCCCATCTTCTCGAGAAAAAAATCCAGTCTTCTTTCTCAAGACCAACCCACCCCATCACAATGGCCTCTTCCCGTGTCTTCGCCAGCCGTCTGGCTTCCACCATGGCTGCCACCTCCAAGGTCGCCCGCCCTGCCGCTCGCGTTCAGCTCAACGCTGTCGCCCCCAAGCGCACCTTCACCACCCAGAAGAAGATCAACATGACCCCCTTCCAGACCGTCAAGCGTCAGTCTCCTTCCGGCCTCATCCAGGCCAACGCCCGCCAGGCTTTCGCCGCCCAGGGCCGCCGTCAGTACTCCTCTGAGATCGCCGACGCCATGGTCCAGGTCTCCCAGAACTTGGGTATGGGTTCCGCTGCCATCGGTCTCGGTGGTGCCGGTATCGGTATCGGTCTCGTCTTCGGCTCCCTCCTCCTCGCCGTCTCCCGCAACCCTGCCCTCCGTGGTCAGCTCTTCTCCTACGCCATTCTTGGTTTCGCCTTCGTCGAGGCCATTGGTCTGTTCGACCTGATGGTTGCCATGATGTGCAAGTACGTCTAAATTTAACGCAACCACTTTTCTCCCACGACAATCGAGCCGCATATCATATCTCCTAGCGAAGCGTTTGCGGTGTCCGGCAAATCTTGGAAGGGATCGAATTTTTTTGTGAGATGAAATACGGGAAGGGAACTAGATGGGATGATGACGAAACCAATTTCACAAAAAGACTCTCACAAAATCAACGAAGCTTTTTCTGGATCACTTGTACAACAATTCCACAAATGAAACAATCGGTTTAATGAGCGTGCTCGTCCGGTAAACCGGTTATCTTCTCTTTGTTCCATTTTTACCTTTCTTCTCTGTTTTTCATTTTCCCAAAAAAGAATTGAGAACGACTGGAATTTTTTCCACACAGACACTTCTTTCTTATCTAGGAGGTTGATCTTTTTGTGGTGGTCTTTTTATATATCATGTACTACTCCCTATTTCCTTTTTCCCCCTCACGTCGTCGCCTACCACATGCAACCAATATACACTGTACATATAGAGTTAAAATGGCCACTCTAAACCCATCCTTCTGAGCCTTCAAAACTCGCTGTGTTGTCTTAGGGAGCCAAGTAGACGATATATGGTGAGGACGATCCAGAACAGGGGCATGATATCGTAGAATCACCGACAAACCCCCATATTCTGGGGTAAAAAAGAAGAAGCTTGGGCTTGAGCTTGAGTCTGGAGTGATTCCAGCTCAGCACAAAACAGAGAGCTTTTGAGCATCCATCGAATTGTAGTGATCAGAACCACTCACAAGTCGTATACGGTATGACGGGATTTAGAGAAGGTCAGAGCTCTCTCCAGGCTCCCTCCTCCCCGTGGTGGGTGCGTGGTGAAGGATGCGGATTGATGCCAGCTGTCGAAAACGGATGAACCTCCCTTTTCTCCTTCCCTTCCCTGTTCTTCCGGGGAGAGGGGGGCGGCCGATGTCCAAGCTAACTGGCACTGGCTCCGTAAGAGATTGTTATCAATCACCATCAGATTAAACACTCAATTGCAATTTCTACTCTCTTGACTCTGTATATAGTCTACCCGCCTGTCTTTTTCTCATCTCATTCTGTCCATTCATTCCCCAGACTTCGCATTTGCTGTGTGCGCGTGTATCGGCGGGTGGTTGGTAGTCAGTGTATGCCAGCACTAACTTACCGTATGTAACGTCCGATACTCCCTTGCTAGCCACGCACGACCTTCAAGCCCATAGTAACATGGAACAATTATGATACATCCATTATCCATCTATCCATCCATTTCTTGATCACTCCTATCAATTGCCTGGATAATGTTATGTTTACGCTACTGCCTTTCGAACTTGATGAATCTGTCCTCTCGAGAAAAAAACTTTTTCCTCTCTCATGCACGCATGCATGGATGAGATGCATGCAGCCACCACAAACCACTCTCTCTTTCTAATTTAATTACGGCGGCTGTCAAGCCCAGAACAAGTTTTGTAATGTGAACCACTCCGGTCCGATCAACGGACAAACTTTCCTACTTAACCGCGGTAATACGCCGGGTTCTCCTCCATCTTACAGGACAGTAAGCTCTTTGGCCGGATGGGCAGGGATGTGAGAGGTTCTGTCCTTTTTCTCTAATCCTTGCTACAGGTCGTGGATAGTGGGCTGAGATATACGGATACAGTAAGCAAGCCTTTATCAATGCATTGCAGGGGTGGTGAGGTTCGTGAGGTGGAAGAGACTATTTCGAGGGAATACCTCACGTCCCTACTGGAAAGGAGATTGTTCTGATACGGACCATCGGTTCTCCTGGCCGTCGGTGGACGGGTAAATTGGTTCCAGGTGTGATGAATCATGGACAGAGAACCCATTTCGTGGTTGCTGATCCGTCTTGTCTGTTCTTCAGTCGTGCCGAGTCCGGGTGGCAGGCTGTATTGAGCGGTACAGGGGTGCTGTATGGTGTGACGGGCTGGATACGGGCAAGGTATTTGGGGCTGGAAGGCCTGCTGGGCGGAGTAGGTTTGCCGGGTGTTGATCGGGGAGGTTGCCTGAGGGATCGATATTGATATTCCATTGAGATATTGCATTTGATTGTTGATGTGAATAGCACTTGGGTTGAGTGTAGCTGTAGACAACTACTGTAAGTGTGGAACTTAGGTTGATATAGTCAAAATCATGACTAATACTTCATATTTAAGTGCGGAGCTTGCTTTGTTCTCTGAGGGACGTTACCCCAAGACAAAGTATATATCTTACTGTCAGAGGTCTCTGCACAGCGGAATATCGAATTCAACTCGCTCAATAGAAGCTATTCAATCTGGTGCATCTTGAAGGACCTGCTTTATGCTCTATACTAGACCTTCATTTATTCACCCAACTACACAACTGATCAAGATAATTCCCTCTTAACCAGTTTGAGATGTGGGACTTTTATTGACATCACGTGGCATCTTAATGCCTCAGGCAGCAAAAACTTGGACATGTTCCCCGCGGTCCACCTGTCGTCCGCCATCATCAACCACACCTCCATCTTTTGTCCGCCCGTGCCACGTCCTTGAACTTATTTACCGCAAAGACCCAAGCCAATCAAGCTTGATGCTCTGACTCAATGGCTTCCATTCTTCCCCACTCATCATCGACTACTGTCCAAGCCTGTCCGCGCAGTTAATGCTACTAATGCTACGCCAGCAACCCCGACTCCGTTTCGCAACACTGATTTTGAATCTCGATAAATATCGAACGTCGGTCGAGACCTGGAGAGAAACAACACATTCTGCCCGGTAAATTCAGATGTATGCGCCCGGCGATTGAGAATCCGTTCCAGACCGCACAACACCTTGATAGCACCTCCCGCGAAATCGACTATTTGCTGCCGAGAGCTTATGTCGGGACCGATACGAATAGAACACAAAGGGCAGATAATGCGAGAGCACGGCATGCTTTCGGGGACACTGGTGGCCATGCTGTGGGAAGAATACTCTTCGCGGACGGGGATGCCATGCTGGTATATAAAGCATGGCCTCTTGCGCGCCGACAAGCTTGGTCGTAGTGGGACCACCGGCCTGATGCGTCTCAAGTATTGCGTGGATGCATCGGTGAAGTATCCTGGACCGTAGAGATGTACTGGCAAGAGGATCGGCAGGGTACCTGAGCGTAGGGAGCAGTATCAGCCGGAAGGAGAGCGAAAGTGCCGCCATTTGGAGTAGGAGTAGGAGCAGGACTTATCAGTACATTGATGGCAATTTAGAATCTGTAACCATGTAGATGCGTACATGGAGCTCCAGACCTTGCCCTGCGTTAACGCCTAACAGCCTTGACAAACTTGAACAGGCTCATTTAAGGCCATGCCCGATTTATCGATACATCAGACCCTTCATCTCTCACTCTTGGCCAATAGCGCATTCAATGTATCTTGTAACTGATGGGTCAGTCTTGGGTATGAGATTCGATCTTCAATGCTGCGAGGTCACGTCTCAAGATATCATCGTCCGACACCTTGTCAAGTGATGTCAGTACAATTATTCGATCCTATCCACTTAATAGAAGCCAATCTAGTGAAGGTACATTCCTATAGAATGCCAATTGCGCATAAATCTCAAAACACGAGCATAACCCAGAGCACGTGACTTATACACCTATTGACTGCATAACTTGGGCTACCACGGATGATCACCTTCCACCTTCGTCTCGACCTCAATGCCAGTCAGACACGTCCGATCATTCTTCGAAGAATGTGGCTCAAATGTCGGATCACAGTCATCTGAGCTCGGCGGAGAAAAAGCGCCTCCGCGATCGACGGGCGCAGCAGAATTCTCGAAGTAAAAAGTTGCAGTATCTCAGTCACCTCGAAGATCGCATCGCACGGCTAGAAGAGCAGGTCGCTCACTGTCGGCAACACCACACCGATGAAGGCGCCCAACAGCGATCTGAAGAGCTAGAGACCCTCCGGAGACAAAATGCATCTCTTCTTGCGCGTCAACGACAGCTGAAAAATCTCCTGCAATCTTGGGACATCGATGCGCTGACGTCTCCGGAAGCTGCCACGGGACCAGCTTGTACCCCCGAGGCCGCCGATGTCGAGAGCCTGCGTCCTCCACTACCATCGCTACCACCGCCGATAGCAGTCTCGCGCAGCTTGATAGACCCCTTGGAAGCTAGTAGAAGAACTCTACCCATCCCGCCGATCGCTCCAATCCTGCCACCGCTGCCGCCACTCGCAGCTACTATCAACTACGCTCACGACTCTACAAACTCACCAGAGCCACTCTGGAAACGCATTCCACTCACCAACGACGACCCGTCAGCCCCCTACATGAATTGGGTAGCTTATCAGGAGCAGATCAGAGCATCCCCGGACTCCCCCGCCTCTCCGCTGGATCTCCTGTACGGCTCCAAGACCAACGTCCTGGCAGACCTAGTCTACCGCACCACGAAGCGACGGCCGCTGCGCGACCCCGAGCGCCTGGCCTGTGGGTGGCTAGCCTACCACCTGCTCAAATGGATGTACTCTCCCAGTCCCAGCCGATTCGCTCGGCTGCCAACCTTCATGCATCCGAATATCGACCAAATCAACATTCCCCACCTTGGGTCGATCGACCTCATGATCTGGCCGCAGATCCGGTCCAATCTGATCCGTCGTTGGCACATCTACGAGGGTCAGCGTGACGATCTCTTTGGGTTCCTGGCCTGTTGTCTCAAGGTCCGTTGGCCCTGGGGCGAGAGTATCCTCGAGCGCGATGATCAGGATCAACTCCGTATCCGACGCAGCTTCTACGAGACGTTCATGACCATCGAGGGATGGGGACTCACCCCCGATGTCATTCGAAGCTACCCCAGTATTTTGACGGGGGTTGACCTGCAGTCTATTGTGTATGAGGTCCTGTGATTGATGAACGAATGGTATTAGGAAGTAGTCTATATTCTATATGGGAACAACAGGGAGTCTATCAATACATGTTAAGCAGGTCGTTACATCGTCTTTGCGGCCACGGCTCATCAATCCAAGTCAACCGGAAACCTCTCGCGGATCATCTTGCCGTATCGGTTGAACAGCAACGGGACCGGCACAAAGGCCAAGGCCAGGAACCCCAACAGCGAGTTACCCCATCCGATGCCCATGTTGCGGAACATGGTAGGGCCTGCTAGAGGTAACAAGGCGCCCATCAGCGATCTCGAGGCCGTCATGGTGGCGTTCGCGGAGGCCGCATAGGCCGGGTATGCGTCAATGACATAGGTCTGGATGGGCATCCAGATGCCGAGCATGCCCACGCCGAAAGGAATCATGCCGATGATGGGGACGATCCAGTGGACTTTCTGCGCGTTCTCGGCCGACCAGCCGTACCAGAAGAAGGTGATGGGAATGATGCAGCTGAAAATGATCATCAGCGGCAGACGCATCTCGGGCTCGAACTTGCCGCCGTTCTGAGCGGTCAGCTTGATGACCATGCGATCGTTGGTCAGTGATACCGTCAACAGGCCGATGAAGAACCCGATGCCGATGCCGATGTACGCGAGGCCCGCGAGACCGGTCGAGAAGCCATATCGCTCCTCGAAGACGGAGGTCACGGTGGTGAAGAACAGATACAGCAGACTGTACACGAAAGCGATGTACACGGAAAGAAGGAGCACAATGGGCGATTTGCAGAACAGCACCACGGGCCGTTTGAGTCCCTGCGCCAGAACCCGACTGGCCGAGGGCGGTGCTTGGTGCCTACTGCCGGTCACGTCGTAGACGCTGCGAAGGTCGACCCGATCCAGCTCCTTGGCCAGGCGCGCCGTCTTCCATCGGATCAAGAGCGGCGCATACGTCTCCTGGTTCAGGACCTCGATCCCGGCCGAGATGACCGCACCGCTGATAATCAGGAGGTAGAAGACCCAGCGCCAGCCGATGGTCTCACCGACGAAGCCACCACAGATGGGGCCAATGATGGGCCCTACGAGAGGCCCCATGGCCCAAATGGCGGTGGCCCGACCGCGCAGCTCGGTTGGAAACAAGTCCGCGATGACTCCAGCGCCCAGAGTCACGCAGCCCGAGCCGCCGATGCCGGTGAAAAAGCGCGACACGATGAGGGTGGTCATATTGGGGGCCCGGGCACAGCCGATCTGCCAGACGACGAAGAACCAATTCGCGCCGCTGAGGACGACCCGACGGCCGTAGATCTCACTGAGCGGGGCGAGTAGCAGAGGGCCGAACTGGAATGATCAGTTTTCTGAGTGCGTCCGAGGGGGGACAAAAGCATCCTACATACCACGAACCCGAGCAGGAAGATGGTTACGCTGAAGGAGAGCAAGGTCTCGTTGGTGACCATGAACTCCTTGGCCACGAACTCGATCGCCGGGGAGAACATGCTCGACGCGAGCGGCGAGATGAAGGTGATGGAGCTGATGAGCGCCAGCAGGGTCCACTTCTTGGAGGCAGGGAAATTCTGGGGGTTGGCCGGGTCATCCTGACTATCCCACCCCACGAGCCCACGCGAGAGATCTGTAACGGGGAAGAGGGTCTTGAAGTCCTCGGTGGTCGATGCGGTTTCGGGCTTTTCGTGCAGGCGTTGGAACTCGAGGTCGTCCTTCTTCATGGCTGCTGCTGAGCCGGGGTCGGAAGTAGCCCGCCGAGGAAAGAAAGATGTAGTACGAATGTGAAGAGGATTGCTAGAAAGGGTGGTAATCAGATGTGAATCAACAGATGCAAGTCCGTAACCTGTTGATTATCGATTAAAGGAACCGCTGGTGCAACGGAAATGAGAAAAAAGCAAATAGCAAGTCATCCAAAGACCCTACGGGCCGGAGAGAGTATTTAACCTACCTAGTTATAGGTTAATGCTCCCTCCCCCCCCGTCTGCCTCACCATGTTCAACGCTCAGCAGAGAGTCCCAGCCCAGCCCCAGAGCAATACGAAGAAAACCCCACCTCTGCCATCATTAAGCTGTCCAGACCCGAGAGCATGGCTGAGTTGAAAAGTGGGTTCATGGGGAATGTTTTGGGCACTGCTAGTGCTGACATGGTGGCCGCAGTAGCCGATTGGATCTGACGTTTTGGGGAAATCATGCGCGATGATGGTGATGATAGCGATGGTGGTGGTGGTGGTGGTGGTGGTGGGTGCTGATGACATGAGATAGCGTGAGCCTTATTTTCCGCAGGGATTGTTGCCTTGTGGTTCGTTTGGGTTGTCGGTATATTTCAACGTAACTGGATTGGATCGGACTAGATACCTATCTACTGGATGAAGTATAGCGAACAGACACAGCCTCAGGATCCTGTGATGATCACGCTATATGTTGTATCTAGTATGGGACATCACGATTCCATGATCCGGGAATGCGAATTAGGGCAGAAGCGAGGTGAGAAATGCTCATTCAGCTCGGCCCCATTCCGGGCAGAGCGCAAGTAAGCACCGCCTTTTTTTTTTTCTATTCCCAGGTCGCTCGGACGAAGACGGCGATATTAGCCTTGATTCCCCTCCAACTGATTTTTTTTGCCCTGATACATCCAAAGATATGACAACTCAGGGGTTGTGTTATGTAGAAGTAAATTTGTTCTGGACCTTTTCCTTTTCCTTGCTGCCGGAGAAAGGAAATTCTTGCCGGTGATTGCGGCACTTCGAACAAAAGGGCTAAAACCACCGAGGACAGAGGGGCAAAGGAAAAGAAAAAGCTTCAAGCATCAAGCTCCTACGCCTTCCCGCTATAGAATTTGATTTGAAAATAAATCAGGATTTGTCAGTGTACAGTACAGGAGTACGCGAGGCTGTGATAACACTACCTACTGGTATAAACTAGCGATTACTTTGGTAATCTGACCCGGCAACGGACAGTAACTTACTACAAGCAAAGCCGAGAGCGCGGCTCTTGCTCGCGGTCCCACTTTGTTGTTTATGTGTGTGTGTGTGTGCTATGGGATGGGACTAGTGTTTGGGTGTCTGCTGTCTAGTCTAGCCTAAGCCACGTTGTTTATTGTCTTTAGTAGTAGTGGTAGTAGTTCGTGGGATAGTGAGAAGTGAAGGGATTTCAGCCTTGTTGTTATTTTTACACCTTATAGGTGGGTGATGTTTTTCGTCGATTTTACCCGAGCCAAGCATTTGGTGGGATGATTTTGCTACGTACGTAGCTGGTTCTGGTCTGGTGGCGGTGTGAAGTGCCGAGTCGAAGGGATCCGATACCTGGTCTCGAGGGATGTGGCGTGCTGAATCGTGGGTTGCATTATGGTGGTGTAGTTTTACTGGTGACAAAGTCGTGTTGTCGTCTGTGTTTTGGTTTGGTTTGTTGTTTGTTGGCGGGACGGAGATCCGACCGACCGCTTTTTGTTCTATGGGTGCGTATGCAATGCGGCCAGCTTAACTACAAACTACAAACATCATATACAGTTCACTTCTCATCCTAATCGATATACTATATACGATAGATATTGAGGCTATAGTTGGAACAACAGCAGTGGGGGTTTGGGGTAGGTTCTCTGAAAATAGCAAGTTTGTCGGCAGTAATCTCCCCACAAGCATGCATACGGGCAGTGGTTGACAGCGCAGCGAGGGGGGTTTATCCGGCGATGGATCGGACATCGGTCCCTCGGCATTATAATCTAGTTTTACGCTCAATTTGCCCGGAAGAAAGTCTTAGCAACCTTAGTAGAGAGTCAATCCATATGCCAGTTAACTCAATCAGGGAGATTATGTGAGATACGCTGGTTGGTCTTGAATTTTGTTTGAATCATGTGGAAGTCTTAGGGACTGTGGATTCGGATGAGGATATGACGTGGCATGGATTGTATAGGGTACCAGTGTTTGAGGCTGCGGCTGATGCTATTGCTGATGCTCTTGCTAGTCAGTCTGGGCGAGGCTGCTGGCCGCCGGCGCATCTCGGCTACTCTTACCCGAGTTTTGGTCGGGTAGGGTTTCGGGGTGGCCGAAAGTCACGGGAGGGGTTCTATAGTACCAGACAGATTTCATGCATGAGATGATGCCTGGCTTGGGCCGATCGGATTTCGCCTAGCTTGGGTCGAGAGAAGGTCAATGTACTAGTGGGTGTGGCATAGGTATAGGTACATGTACAGATTAGGGTGAATTGCAAACATTCTGTGCATCGCAGATACCCAAAAGTATCACTACCGACCACGACCCAGCGCTAGCTAACTGATAATCATCCCCCCTCGACCTCTGACCTCGTATATTGCCGCGGAATCAACCGCACGGGCAACGCCTTCTTAATCCAAAGCGATGTAGTCCGCTGATCGGCCCACCCTTCCCTTCCCGGCATCAACTCCGCATCAAAGTTCCAGAACAATTTGCTCACAATCAACTGCAGCTCCGCATACGCAAGACTAAGCTTCCGTTAGAACCTTCATCAACTAGACGAATCGAAGTAGGCGGCACTTACTTCTTCCCCAGGCAATTCCTGGGCCCGTAAGAGAATGGATGAAACGCTCCGCGATCATCTTTCGCAAAACGCGCACCATCCTTGCCGGCCATCCATCGCTCCGGCCAGAACGTGTCCGGGTCGCTGAAGTTACGTGTTGATCGGTAGCACGCCCAATGGTGGAGACCAACGGACGTTCCCGCGGGGACAAACCGACCGCAGATTAGTTGTCCCGGGGCCGGGGTGACTCGGGGCAATATGCCGGGCACGGGAGGATACATGCGAAGCGATTCCTCGAGCACAGCGTGGAGATAAGGGAGTCGGGCGGCGCGGTGGACGGTGATGTCCCGCTCGTCGGAAAAAGCCGCACGAATCTCCTGCGTCACCCGCGACAATGCGCGTGGGGTGGTGAGGAGATAATACATCATGCCCGAGAGAACGGTGGCGGTGGTTTCGCTGCCCGCGATGATAAGGGTCTGGCCTTGCGTGACCATCTCTTCGAAGCTCAGGCCCTCGGGGCCTATGGCCGAGCGAGAGCCTT